AATTCTGCAGAATTTTCTTTGAAAGCTAATTCCTAAGTCCTGATAAAGCAGAAGACACACTGACCAAATGCTCCGAGAAAACTAAGAAAACTGCCTTTGTTATGTCCATTTGTGTGGAGAGTGGTCTCAGCATGGTTGTGGCTGGTTCTGGAGGTCTTCGGCTGCTGGAGCTCTGCTCGGGGCAGTGAGGGAAACTCAACCCGCCCCCCCCCCCTCAAAGGGGCCCCAGTGAGGACAGCCAGGCGCGGGGGCAGAAGACTCTGCCCATGTCTCAATCATGCTGAGACCACTCTCTACACGCATGAAGGTACTGGCAGAGGAACAAAGGCATGCGGGTCCTGGGGCTGAGATCTCCAAGCCTGCTCGGATCAGGGCTGAGCATCCTCCATACAGATCCGTCATCTTCCAGTAGGCAGGGATCACACCCACCAACTGGCCCCCTGGCTCCGTGTAATCCCATCAACGGCCAAGACCCAGAGACTATAAAACCCAGCTCCTGGAAGAGAACAGTGCAGAATCTCCTGCCCCCATGCCTGGCTGTCCTTGCTGGGGCCCCTTGGAGGGGGGCGGGTTGAGTTTCCCTCCCTGCCCTGAGCAGAGCTCTGGCAGCCGAAGACCTCCAGAACCAGCCACAACCATGCTGAGACCACTCTCCACACACATAAAGGTACCGGCAGAGGAACAAAGGCATGAGGGTCCCAGGGCTGAGATCTCCAAGCCTGCTTGGATTGGGGCTGAGCATCCTCCACCCAGATCCTCCATCTTCCAGTAGGCAGGGATCACACCCACCAACTGACCCCCTGGCACTGTGTAATCCCATCAACGGCCAAGACCCAGAGATTATAAAACCCAGCTCCAGGAAGTGCGTGGCCACATTTGCAGCCCCGGACATCTTATTGTCTCATTCTTACTTTGGACAACCTGGCAGGCTACCAAATGTAACCTGCCCACATGGCAGAGTCAGGCAAACTCCCCGTAGTGTACCCAATATGCCAAATACCAGTAACAATGATGGGTCTCATTCTCCTAACCCTGAAAGGGCCTTGAAGATGGCACTTTTTAAAGTCTCAGGGCTAGGATGAAGGAGACGTTACTGGTGCCTGCTTGAGGCAATGGACGAACAACAGGATGATCGTAATCGTGATCATTATATCCATCCAACAAGATAATTCTGCAGGGTGAAATATCTCTGTGCAGCCCCTAATTTCTCCAGGGTCCCTGGTCTATATTTCCCTCAGAGGAGCTGGTGTGTTGAGGAAGGACGTCATTCCTGACTCTCTTCTTCCTACCAAACTCAACAGAGGAGCTTTATGGTGATGTGACGGCAAGGGGAAGAGGAAGAGAGGCTGTGAACGTGGCAAGTGACAGGTGGTGACCCGGGACAGCCAGCTAGTTGCAGAGATGGTGATGAGACAGGTGGACATGCCCTTCACTCTCTGCTCTTACAGGTCTGTTCTTCCAAGACAGTGACATAAGTTACAAAGCTGAAACATTTGCTGCTGTGCAAGGATGTCGCTCTGTGGTCCATACTGGCAGGTGGCTGGGGATGTCACAGTGAGAGTGTGTCCCTTCAAGAGTCAAGATGTGCTACTTTGACTGGTACTTAATAATGGGAGGGCTGTTCCTCTTAAAGTCTCGTACTCTTAACTAAAACTGAAGACTTTGATTGCGTCACTTTCTCTCATCAGCTCTTGACCTGTCTCAACTGCTGTGAAGATTATCCAGAGTATGGCTGTGGCATTTCTTCAGTTCTACTTCTGCTAGCCATGACGGTCTGGTTGGGGAGGGGGGAGGACAAGTCAAAGAGAAGCAGAAAGTCAAACCAGCACTTACTGAAAGGAACCAGGGGCACCCAGGACTAGGGTGTCACACCATGATAAAGTACATGCTTTGCAGGAGTCCTGGGTTTGACCTCTGGAAAAAAAAACATCCAGAGAGAGTTTGTAGAGTCACTGAGACACTGGAACTGCATACAATACTTCTTTTAATAATTTAAGGTTTTATTTTTTAATTTTAAAAGTATGGAATGCATATACAACGAAATACTCTGCAGCTACGAGGAATAAGGAAATCACGCAATTGGCCTCACTTGTATGGAACTGGAGAGGCTCACGTTGAGTGGAGTGAGTCAGGACAGATACCTCTGATCTCACATGTCTGTGATATAGAGAAGAAAAACAATAGGAGGGGATGCAAGCTTTTAAGATTACCCCTTAATCTAGATCATAAAAATGAGAGTATCAAGGAAACAAAGAAATTGGGAGAAATGGAGAGTAGAAATAGGTGGAACATTGTATGACATTTTGTAACTGTGTATCTCACAGTGACTCAATAAAAAAATAATCAAATAAATAAAAGACTAGTTGGACAGAAGGCGCCAGGAGCGGTCACCAGGTTCTATCCCACTAGTGGTGTCCAAATGGCCTATATGTATATCTTTAAGCCACAGATCCAAGAACACTGGAAGCAGGAAACCCAAACTACAAGAACCAAATTGAAAACTATGCATGTCTAAGACGCAGGCTGGGGGTGGGAGGGAACTTGAGGACACTGGTGGAGGGACATGAACACTGGTGGGGGATTGGTGCTGGAACATTGTGTGCCTGAAACTCAATAATGAATAACTACGTGAATTACGGTGCCTTAACATTAAACATAAATTAGTGGTGCTGGAATAGCTCATGCATGAAATCCTATTAATGACGGTTCATAAACCATGGTGCTCCCGCATTAAAAACATATAATAACAAAATGAGAATGCAAAAAAATAAACAAATTTAATAATTTGGGGGGCCACCCCCCCAGAGCCAGGAATTACTCCTGGCTCGGTGCTCAGGATCACTCCTGTGCTGTGCTCAGAGGATCAATACGGGACACATGGGACTGAGCTTGAGTCTGCTGTATGCAAAACCAGTGCCCTCCCTGCTGTACTACCTCTCCGGACTCAGTAGCAAATGTTCTTTATAGGGGCAAACCACTGGTGTGCTCTGAACCAGCAGTGCCTCGTCCAGTGAATTCCCACCACAGCCTCACAAACACCCATCACATGCGCCACCTCTTCTCCCAGAATATCCTCAGGAGCTGTGGAGATGGTTCACCACGTGGAACAGAGGTGCAAGAAGCTGGATTGCCGTCCTGCAGGGACTCTGGCGACCCCAAGGCACCTCAGGACAATCTTTCCAAAGTCTTTACTTATGTTTATTAGGTATAAAAAATGACTGGAGGTTTCTGCAGAAAGAGAACTTAAATTTTAATAGAATAACAGCCATTTGTGTCTGCATCACATCACATTTTAATGAAAAGAATCGCTCTCTTGCATTCCCATCCACGATGGTTTGTATGAAAAATTATATTAATAGAAATCTGCCAGGAAAGAGACTGAATTGCTCTAACAGGGACGTTCTATTAGAAAGAAGCCTGGAGTCCAAGCAACAAATCATTCCTACCTAAGAAATAAGAGGGTGATTAAACTTCGTGTCTGTGTGATCACGGAAAAACAGGGAGTGTGTCACGCGGAGTGTTCTCTCTACTCCTTGATGTGTTCTGCCAGTATTTCAAAAGCAAATATCAGTGCCAGCTGGGACAGAAAGCCGGAGAAATTTGTTTGTCTGGAGGCTCCATTCCCGTCTCCCTTTGTCTCGTAGCTGTCCCTGGGGGTGTATGTTGGGGGCAGCAGAGTACAGAGGGGACACAGGGGGCGGCCACTTGCGGGCTGCTGCGATATGCTCTCCACGGGTGCTCATCCCCCAGCAGCAGTGTCTGGGAGCCTCTATTTTTGTCCCACTTTCCAGGCAGCTCCAGGGAAATAGTTCACATTGTGTCCACCAGAGCAAGTGACGAGCGTCACTCAGAAGGGATCAGATGAAGCGCGGGGTCAGCTGTGTCCTGCACCGTCTCTGCATCTCCAGGACAAGTGCCAACTAAAAGGAGCCCAAGGGTTCTTCCAGCTGAAAAAGGTAGAGGCACACTCAAGAATTTTGTGGAAGATTTTTAAAACCTGGGAGCTTTGAAAAAAAGTTGAAGACATTGAACGGGTATTGTATAGTTATGCCTCAGGTTAGGAATCAGACTGGTTTGCTAAATCCAAACGTAGTGGCATCAGCCAGGAGTTTGCTAGAAAGGTTGTTAGGCTTTCGAATGTTAACCTCGGGCCTGCTGAATCAGAATCTGAATTTTAACAAGATCCTTAGTCGATTCAAGGAAAGCCTGAGAACTGTTAGCCCAGGTGGTTCTGGACTTTATCCTGGGCAAATAAGACTGACTTGGAAAAGAAAATACACATACCTGTCTGGACATAAAGAAAGTACAGATCACTTCATAGAAATGAATATGGTGTGAAACATGGGTCTCAGCAGATGCTGTTAGACTCAAGGTGGGGGTTATTATATAATATGTTGAAGGTGCCAACAAATCCTTGGCTTCCATCCTGAAAACAGAGTAAAGACTCAAAAACAACCCCACAGAAGCTAAAGCTTGACTTGAGATTGAGTCCCACAAATTCCTGAAAGGAGAAGCCCCTCGGACCTGGTGGACAGCAGGAGGCGTCTCCCTCTCCTTATCATGATAAAAAGTTGACCTTGAGGGGCTGGAGTGATAGCCCAGCGGGTAAGGAGATTGCCTTGCACGCGGTCGACCTGGGTTCGATTCCCAGTATCCCATATGGTTCCCCAAGCACTGCCATAAGTGATTCCTGAGTGCATGAGCTAGCAGTAACCCCTGTGCTTCACTGGGTGTGACCCAAAAAGAAAAGAAAAAAAGTTGACCTTGAACATTGGAGTTCGATGAGGCCCAAGTTGATTGCAACAGGACCGTGATGGCAGTGGTTCTGTGCAAAGAGGTTCTGCCGGGGAGCACACATGGGAGACCAAGAACAGAACGGGCCTTTCAGAACAGAGCTGACACTGGCCTCCTCACCCTGCAGTCTAGTGACTCCAGACTGTCTCTTTGAAGAAATCAAACACACAGTTTGTTTCAGCAGCTGCAGGAGGTGAACCATGCACTGAGGAGCCCCTGACCTCCAGCACACAAGGACGTGAAGCTCCGAGAATACAAGCCCCGTGCCAGGCTCAGCCAGCGAAGACCGAGATGGTGTGCCTGGGACATTGTCTGCTTCAGTGAGTATTGTTGCAATTACATAGCTCCCCGCTGCTAATGGCAGCAGCGTCCCACCCTGTCCCCCTGTAGCCGTCTCTAAACCTTAGAAAGTGTCCTTCTAGATGAGCTTTCTGGATCCCCCCAAACCAGGTCTTCATTTTCCAGGTCCATTTCAATCTAGTTGCATGTCTGATGTCTGTCATAGCTCCATGGAGTTGATGGCCACCCAGCAAGGTATTCTCACCCAAATACAGCCTTCCCTAATTCCACAGCCATCTAGTCCTTCAGCTCTCTAACTATTACGTCATCACACCAGACAAGTTCTCTCTATGCAAATGCACCTAAAAACTAGGTCTTTTCACCCCACACCCAGTGATGCTCAGGGGTTATCCGTGACTCTGAACTCAGAAATCATTTCTGTTGCTCCTCGGGGGACCATATGGGATGCTGGAGATGAACTTGGGTTGGCCACATGCAAGGCAAACGCCCTACTCATGTCCTATCGCTCCAGCCCCTGGTTTCCTCTGTTACTGCTCCCATAACCCTCTTCTGGGAAAATTCTGGGTCCACCATTGTCCCCTAATTTATCAGCAAACTAAGTAAAAGCATTCATGGTTATTATCTGGAAATTATGTTAAGTTTAGCTCCTGCTTAACTTTTCGTTTCACTTTGTTTTTATTGTTTTTTGACCCACACCCATCAGTGCTCAGGAACTACTCCCAGCTCTGTGCTCAGGGCCACACATGGCAGGGCTCAGGGGACTGTGCAGTGCCAGGCTCTGAACACGGGCCTCCTAAAGACAGTCTATGCTCCGGTCATTGAGTTCTCTCTCCCGTTGTCCCTGTTTCTTAACTTTCATCTAGGGATTTTCTCTTTCCACTAAGGTCACTTGTTTGTTTCTTCCTGAAGCCAATACTGAGAACAAAGCCAGTTTATCCAGAGTAGATAATGGGGATGATTTAAATAGTTACCAACTGAGAAGCTCATAATACTTCCTAAGCACTTGGACACTTAATTCCTGGCTCTTAGCAACACTGTCACCCTTACTCTTAGGGCAGAGTGACTTTGAATGAGCCTGACTCTGGGTTTTAAATTCCACACCAGGGGCTGGAGAGATAGTACATGGGTAGGGCTTTTGCTTTGCATGTGGCCAACCCAGGTTCACCCCCAGCATCCCATATGGTCCCCTGAGGAGTGCCAGAAACGATTTCTGAATTCAGAGTCATGGATAATCCCTGAGCATCACTGGCTGTGGCCCACAACCCCTAAAACAAACAAATTAATAAAGCAAATTCCACATCACTGTCCTTTAGTAATCAAACAGACCAAATTCTCTTGAAAGAAAATTTTTAAAAAGCAGAAGTTTCATCTAGTGGTGACGAATGTGACCCAGAGACACATTGTCCTAGTCCTAACTGGATGCATATTTATCCTGTGGAAAATGACTCAATCCCCAAAGCAATTAGACACCTTGATTTAACACATAACCTAAACCTCAGATAATCAGGCTGTTGCCATAGACTTGGATTTTTGACATGTAAAGTTTACAACAAAGGGGGAAAAAAATCATAGGATTTTGTCTTCAATCTACAAATACCTTCCAGGACCACTGAAGTTGCTTAAGATCTTAAGCCTATTCCCATTGTATCCTTGAGCAAGAAGCACCAAATATCAATGAAAAGCCTCTTTCATTTTTGCCTGACCTGCACTTTTTTCACTTAACCTGGATTTCACGTAAATCCACTGGGTTTTATGTTGCTCTTCAGGAACTTTCTCCAAGAGAGTACTTCATTTTGTCTGGGGGTTAGCTGAAGAATCTCATGCTTGAAGTATCCTTCTTGGTGAACTCAAATTGCTTGCAGGGAAAGTCCACAGTGATGCCAGAAGCTTCTGGAAACAGCCCCAGCAAAATAGACCAGGAACTCTTATGACTGGGGCCTGTCGTCCCTACTTTGCTGGGAAATGACGGATGCATTTTTTGTGCGAATTAAAAAATTCTTGGCAGTTCAAAGAAGTGTTGGCAGGCTGTCTAAAGAGACTGACTCTCTGGCGGGACAACAGCCATACACGGCTTAGCCACGAAGCACAGGATTGTGATCTTACAGTGACTGTTCTCTCAAGCACACCGCAGAACAGACGTGCTACACTGAAGAGCGTTTCCCTGTGTTGCTCACCTCTGAATCACTATCCCCCCCAGAGCAGTTAGCTGTAAGGGAGGAGGTTAGGAGTGGAGAGTGACTTCTTTGGGTCAGTGGGACTAAAAATGGGAGCCATTTGTTCTGAAACTGAAAAACAGCCACGTCATGACTTGCATCCTAGTTCATTCCACTTTCCTGTTCTCTGAGCTTCACGCAAACCTTTCATAAACCAACTTGTTAGAGGAAGCTTTCCCTGACCCCTAGGCTGAGGAGGTTACTGATCAGCAATGCCAGCACATTTCTCAGGCCTTTTGTGTTTTCCAGGCTGTGTCTTTCCTGTATTTCTCAGACAATGTACTTGGCACTGAGTGTGTGTGCTCAACGCTCCGGCTGCAGATCAAGCTACAACTTCTCCAGCTAATGCTGTCACCACTATCGACTCGGTGTGATTTAACAGCAAGAGCACTTGAGTAGGACCTACAGAGCATCCTCGGCACCTCCAGAACACTGCTTCCTCTCCTTGCTCTTGGGGGTTCCTAGTCCCATCCTGCTCACTAACCAATGTCAAACACATTTTGGGGACCTGAACTTGGCTCGGTTGTTTGGACAGGAATTTTCCTCTGCCCGACTTCTTTTCTTCTTCACTCTATACTTTAGTCCTAGATGTAAAATCTGGTTATTCATTCAGTTGAAATGAGAAGCCTGGGGCCGGCCTGGGGACAGCTCAAGTAATAGAGCACACAGCTGATCTCATTAGGTCTTTTTTTTCCTTTTTTGGGTCACACCCGGCAATGCACAGGGGTTACTCCTGGCTCTATATTCAGGAATTACTCCTGGAAGTGCTCAGGGGACCAATATGGGATACTGGGAATTAAACCCAGGTCGGTCGCGTGCAAGGCAGACACCCTATCCACTGTGCTATCACTCCAGCCCCATGCGTTAGGTCTTGAGTCTGATCCCTGGCACCACATGATCCCTGAGTGCCACCAAACCTGAGTGGCACACCCCTGACCCCAAGCCCTGCACCATCAGGCTCATCATATGGCTGAGCACTACCAGGAGTGGCCCTGAGCCGCAGCATCAGGAGACAGCAGTGGGGAGGGGGCGTGGCTATTAAAAACAGACTGAATACAGAGGCTGGAGTGATAGTACACTGGGTAGGGCACTTGCCTTGAACGTGACCCAGGTGCCATCACCAGAACTCCATATGGTTCCCTAAGCACCTGAAAGGGCAATTCTTCAGTGCAGAGCCAGGGGGGACAAACCGAGCATCGCCAGGTGTGGCCAAAATATGCCCCCTCCCCCCCCAAAAAAACAGACTGAGTATAAGACATCCATTCTCACCCAATATGTGACTTCTTAGAAAAATGTGGAAGGGGTTGGGGGGGTCTCACAAGTGGTGCTCAGTGATGCCTAGGGCTGACTCCTGGCAGGGCTGGAGACCATATGCATAATGCAACTGGCTTACTCTCTCTGGTCCCATGTCTTTTAAATGGAAGGTTATTTTGAACTAATTGCAAACAATCCTGTGTTCCCATTATGGATCAATCCCTAACTTAACTCGAGTTACTCTATAGGGAGTAGCAATTCTATAGGGACTAGGGTTAATTTATTGGCCTGGATGTGAAACTCATGCCTGTATTCTTGGGTCTGTAGCTTTGGAAAAGTCACATAATTTGTGTGCATTAATTTGCGTGCATTAAGTTTTCTCGTCTATGAGCATGGGATTTCTGATAGTATAACTCTTCTAAGGATTGCATCTGATGTGTTGCACACTTTGCTACTCTTTTTTTTTAAATGCTTTTTGGGTCACATCCAGCAATGTTCAGGGGTTATTCCTGACTCTGCACTCAGGAATTACTCCTGTTAGTGCTCAGGGAACATATGGGATGCTGGGAATCGAACCCAGGTCAGCCGCGTGCAAGGCAAATGCCCCACCCGCTGTGCTATTGCTCCAGCCCCACTTTGGTACTTTTTTATTGTTGTAATTCATTGTACAAAAGTTGACTGAGACTTTTCTAGGTGCAGAACTTTGTGCTACATAGTAAAGTAAAGGTAAAGGCCCTCCCGTTGATCGTCGATTTGCTCGAGCGGGCCCAGTAACGTCTCCATTGGAGACTTTGTTGTTACTGTGTCTGGCATATCGAATACTCTCGGTAGCTTGCCGGGCTCTCCGAGAGGGGCGGAGGAATCGAACTCGGGTCGGCCATGTTGGCCGCATGTAAGGCGAACGCCCTACCCACTGTGCTATCGCTCCAGCCCGGTAAGTAAAGTAAAGGCCCTCCCGTTGATCATCGATTTGCTCGAGCGGGCCCAGTAACGTCTCCATTGGAGACTTTGTTGTTACTGTGTCTGGCATATCGAATACTCTCGGTAGCTTGCCGGGCTCTCATGGTGAGGATAAAACCACTATAGAATGTGATTTCCTCTCACAGAGAACTTTCCCGGTAGAAGAAACAATCCTACCGAAAGACAACAGCTACCTGTTGGGAATCACTGTGCTAGCAGCAAGGCGAGAGGCTCTGAGTCCTGTGGCACTAACCTTGGCACCGAGGGGATTCAGTCTGCTCTCAGCAAGAGACAGGATGCAGAGTCCTCCCAGACTGGAATGTGGCCTGCAAGTGAAGCTCACTTCCAAAGCAAAGGGAAGAAGCAGGACAAAGAACACATATACTTGGGGGGACATGAGTGGTTCTGTGGATTAATTGTGGTGGTGCCTGGGCTATAAAGTCTGTGAAGATAGGGGGAGGGATGTGGGGAGGGCAGAATGGCAGGATGGGGTCCAGGGGACTTAGAGCGAGGTGGAACGAGCTGACTGGAAAGGCAGTCTGCTAGGAAAATGAAAAAACTAATGTAAGTCATTTGGGAGAGAGAGAGTATGAGAAAGAAAAAGGGGAGAGGGAGAGATAGAGGGGTAGAGAGTGGGAGAAAGGCGGGTACATAGAGGGAGAGGGCAGACAGAGGGAGAGAGGAAGAGGGGAAGAGAGGGAAGGGGGTAAGACAATCTAAGAGAGGACAGAGTGGGCACTGGGGGGAAAGGAGGTGACTGGAGCATGGCTGAGGGGCTGTCATGGACCTCCAGCCACGCTAGGCAGCTCCTGGGCTGAGGGCAGTGAAGAGGCTGTGAGTCCTTCCAGAGAGCAGTGAACTTCAAATGTCCCCACCCTGGACCAGGGCAGGCAGTGAGAGGGTTGAACTTGCTGACTCTAGGGCAAAGGTTGGTGTCAAGTTGCTCAAAGAATATTGGCATAAATGGATTTATATACCAGAAAGGGGAAGACTTTGTCCCTTTCCAAACCAATGGTTTTCAAGAGTTGCTCTAAACTTGTGTGGAGGTATCTGCAGCCGGCGAGGACAGGAGACCCTCAGGTGTCTCGGTGATAAGAAAACTCCAGCTGCCCCCGGCTTGCTGCCCACCCGCCTTCTCCGGAAGTGTGAGGGGCAGAGGCTTCAGGGGGCGTTTCCCCTGCAATGCCCCATGTCACAGCAGATAAGTCTCAGCTGAGAGACCTGTCTTCCCACTCTGCTGGGTCTGGGCCGACCTGTGGTCTCCCAGTGGTTAAGGAAGCAGTCAGGACCAGGTTGACCAGGTGGTCTGGAGGAGCATTTCAAGCCCAGGTAATATCACACCAATGAGGGGTCCTGGCCAGAGACAGACACCAACTGGAAGATGAAGCACAGGAAGGAAGAAGGTCGGGAGAGGCTCACGAATGGGAGGCTGAGAAATCCTGGGCTAGAGAGACATGGTCTGGGGAAGCCATGTGCAGGCGTGTAGATGTTTTAGATATGCAGGACAGAACGGCAGAGAGAAAGGTCACATGCACGCGTGGGCCGATGCCAGGAGGAAGGCACACACCCACACGATTTTCCTCATCCTCATTCCACTACCATGCACATGCACACATGTAGGTTTGAGTATGCACCAACGGGGCCAGAGCCATCATACGGTGGGCAGGGCTTTTGCCTTGCATACAGCCCACCCACGTTTCACCTTGGGCACCCCGTATGTTCTCGGACCCCAGCCAGGAGTGATCCCTGAGTGCAGAGCCAGGAGTGAGCACAGCTGTGCCCTCCGCCCCCGAGAAAAAGTAGTTGGATTTGAATTAATTACCAGAGAACCGGAGTACTGAAAACTGACAGCGTCTTCCTATTCCCTTTTGCCCACAAAGCCATGATGGAGCGTCTTGGGACTCAATGGTCTGTGCCAGCAGATCTCAGTGAGTCCCAAGCTGTTGGGTAAGCAGGCCAGAGGTGGGAGAGCCCTGCACAATCCTGGGGTGAACCTGGGTCTTGAGATGACATCACCATTTTCTCTGGAGCAAAGTGCCCTGTATCTGTGAATTAAGGAAAATATTCTTTTTTTTTTCTTGATTTTTTTTGGTCATACCCGGCGAGGCACAGGAGATATTCCTGGCTCTCTGCACTCAAGAATTACTCCTGGCGGTGCTCACGGGACCATATGGGATTCTGGGAATCGAACCCGGGTTGCCCTGGTGCAAGGCAAACACCCTACCTGCTGTGCTATCGCTTCAGCCAGGAAAATATTCATTTAAAGTCAGTTCTTAGGGGACGCCTCATGTCCCTTTCCTAGAAGCTTTATCTGGTCTCACCTCTACCTGTCCGTCTAGGTTAATTTTTCTTGAAAAAAATTTCCTGATAAATAATTGCCTCGAAAAATGTGTGAAGCCAGGCCAGATCTATAAAGCAGCAGATTGGGCATTTGCCTTGCATGAGGCTGAGTCTGGTTCAATCCCCGGCATCCCCTATGGTTCTCCAAACACTGCCAGGAGCAAGACCTGAATGCAGGGACGGAAGTAACCCCTGAGCATTGACCAGTGTGGCTCCAAATTAAAAACAAAAGAAAAAAAGCGGGCCATGCATCCTATCTTGCTCCAGAAATGTTGACATTTGATGTTAGTATATATCCTGAAACTCAGCTTCTTTGGCTACTCGTTCAACTTTGCAACCGTTTGTTCATTTGGTACTCCTCATCTTTGAAAGGAATTTCCCACAACCTAGAGTACTTGGCGGTATCACCACCACATTTTTAAGAATCATAATAACATTGATGCTACAGCATATGTTTCTGTGATGCTGATCTACTAGTACTTAAAAAGTAAAGACATGTAAGAAACTTGTCTTAGAAAGTTTATTTGACCAACAGTCGACTTGAATTGGGCAGTTGACTGTTGCACAAATAAACCGGAAGAAATTAAGCACCCATTAATGTGAGTGAAAGGAAAGATTTTGATTTTGGTTTTGGGGCCATGCCCAGCAGTTCTCAGAACTTACTCCTGGCTCTGTACTCAGGGGACCATATGGGGCGTGGGCATTGAATCCAGGTTGGCTGTGCAAACAACTGTTTTACCTGTTGTTCCATCTCTCTGGCCCACAGAGGAAATATTTTTGTAGAGAAGGGGGGGGCTGAAGCAAAGCAAGAACATGATTGATTGGCTAGGGCATACATGACGGCCTTATTTCAGAAGGCCTATTTGGCTGTTCGTGAGTTGTTTCTGTTTCTTAACCTGGAGATGTTTTACAGGTTTATATTTTCATCTGTTTATGTAGGTCAAGATATTCAAGCCACCTCGTCTAATAACCCCCTTATTTGATTAATTGGACATGATCTGCGGACTGGAGAAGGCGGTCAGTGTCTTATGCAAATTATGTGAGTGCAGACATCCATGTGCATGTTAACGTGATAATGTGGTTAGTGGAGCCAAGCTTCTCAAAGTTGAGGACGAGTTTCACAGTATATCAAGACATTACAATAAAAGCTAATATCCTGCAGCAGTGCTCTCCCTTTGTGAAAAACGTGGCTTGTATAGCGAACTTCAAGAACCATGAGAGGACCAAGGTGGTAATTCAGTAGCAGAACATCCCCCTTGCACGTGTGAAGGCCATGGGTTCCACCCCCTGACACCTCAAAAATAAAATAACCAACTGCACCCTCATAAGAATATTCATTTTTGCATTTGCTGCTGTACATAAACTATCTGGGTAGTTACACATAGAAACTACGAAACCTGAGAGTATTGGCCAATATTGAGGAAAACTAATACAAAGGCTATTGTTAGATTGCATTGATATGTAAATAAAATTTTTATTCCAGAACCTCTGTTTATAAAGGTGATCATAATAGAGTAGCAGTATACAATGTTTCAACACCAATCCGACCACCCGTGTCAACTTCCCTCCACTGATGTCTCCAGATTCCCTTCCACCCCGGCAGTCTGCCCCCTTGGTGGGAACATTTTTAAGATCAATTATTGTTAGCTGGGGCCCATGCTTTATCCTGGTGGTCCTTGGTTTAGATATATACTAATACCACACCTCTACTCCACCAGTGTACCTGAGGCCTTTTACCCTTGTTCCTGTGACCTCCTATCCACTTCTTCCCCACCCCCCCAACTCCTTCCTCCCTGGCCTTTTTCATGTTTTAAGTTTTGGCTCAACTGATTTCTAGGGGATTTCCTGTCTTTGAGGATATTCATGTAAATAGGGAAGAAAACACAGTTTCGGCATAAAAGGCTACAGGGTTAGGGTAAGATCTAATTAGAACCCTATTTGGCTAGTTAGGGCCCAAATGCCAAAATGGCAATGGTTTGAAATAGTCTGCTCTTAATGTAATTTTCTTTCCACACATCTAATTCTTTATAGGTGTGGTTTTTGCAAGACGCAAAGCTTTTCAGAAACACATATGTATTGTTATTGTTCATACTTGTCACTTGAACAAAAATGATGAAAATAGAAACCAGGAGAGCTCCGACGTTTCTTGATGTCGTTGATCTCCCATGAGAAGTACAAGTCTGTTCATCTGAGTCAGTTACAAATGCAAGTCAGACTAAGGGCTGTAGACTGAGAGTTTTCCACAACTGGTCCAGACTAGTGCCAGTCTGCAGACATGAAAAGAGTCGGAAACCTCTGATGTACTACAGTGGTTATTAACTGCAGGTCTGCGGGCCAGTTCTCAGGGAGATGCAGGTGTGAAAAAGGGAAAAACCATTGCTATAGTCTCCTTCATTATTTGCTTATATTCATAGGCTACTTGTTGAATGAAACAGGTAGTACTTGTTTGCATCAGTGACTATAGATTCTCATTGGCCTTTAAGTCCTGTTAAATAGCCTGGTACTGTGTTTTGCAGACTCTTGTTTGTTCTCACAACTTGCTTGAAAGGTTGTATAGCTTTATTTCCATTGTACAGATGGGAAAAGTAAGGGTAACAAAGCTGTTGGTGAGTGTGTTCTCAATATTTTGGGGGGAGGAGGTGGGGTTTCAGCCAGAGAGATAGTACAGGAGGGAAGAAAGGGCATGTCTTAAGGCCAGGAAGATTGCTTCACAGTTGGAAGCCTGCCTTTTGAGCTAGGGGAGAGCGCAACTGGTATAGAAAATAGATCACTAAGTCAATGATGGTTGGAAGTATCGCTTGGAATGGGAGATGTGTACTGAAAGGAGATAAAGAACCAAACATGATGGCCTCTCAGTATCTTTACTGTGAACCATAATGTCCAAAGTAGAGAGACACTAAGAAGGAAATTGTCTGCCATAGAGGCAGAGGGGGGAGTGGGACAGGGTGGGAATGGTGGGAGGGATATTGGGGACATTGGTGGTCGAAAATCTATACTGGTGGAGGGATGGGTGTTCAATCATTGTATGGCTGATACTCCAACTTAAAAGCTTTGTAACTGTGGCTCACAGTTATTTGATTTTTTAAAAATGTGCTTGTCTTGCCTGAGGCCTATTCCAGTTTAATCCCTGACACCACATACAGACCCTGAACATCTCCAGGGGTCACTCCTGAAAACAGAGTTAGGAATAGGCCCTGAAAGATGTGGCTTCCCCCAACCCCTCCCAAAGGCTGGGGGAGAGGCAAAACTTAGAGATGGATTATTTAACTCAGGATGGAATTGGATATGGTTGTGATTGCAGATTTTTTTTCTAGAGAAGTAGCGTCCTTCCAAAACCTACCCTTAGGCCAGGATAGTAGAGCTGGTTGGATGTCTGCCTTGCACACATCTGACCCAGGTTCTATCTCTGGCACTCTGTATGGTCCCCCAAGCCTGCCAGGAGTGATCCCTGAGCACCACCGGTGTGACTCCAAAACCGAAACCCACCCTTTATTGTCCATTGTGCACAATCTTTTTACCCATGGAGATGCATGTGCAGTTCCTGTCACTTTAAGAGTCTGGCTTGTTTGATTACCTCTCCCTTCCTTTCTTTTTATTTTTTTGTTTTTGTTTTGGAGCCATGCCTGGTGGTGCTCAGGACTTAGTCCTGCCTCTGCACTCATGGATATTACTGGGTTCAATCTATCTGCTGTAGTGTCTCTCCAGTCTCCAGAGCTGCCTTTCTTAAAGGAGGTAAAGGGATATACGTGCATGATAATCTTTCAGTACCTGTATTGCAAACCATAATGCCCAAAAGGAGAGAGAGAGAGAGAGACAGAGACAAAGACAGAGAGGCAGAGACAGAGATACACACAGAGAGACAGAGAGAGTAAAGGAGAGAGAGAGAGAGAAAGAGAGAGAGAGGGAAGGAAGGGAGAGAGAGAGAAAGAAAGAGAGAGAGAAGAGTGCTTGCCATAGAATCAGGTTGGGGATCAGTGGTAGGAGGGAAACTGGGAGCATTGGTGGTGGGAAGTGTGCACTGGTGAAGGACAGGTGTTGGGACATTGTATACTGAAATCCAATCGTGAACAATTTTGTAACTGTGAATCTCATAGTTATTCAATAAAATAATTTAATTCAAAAATAAACATTTTTATAAAGGGTGTTGGGAGGAGCCTCCCAGGATGGGAGATACATGCTGAAAGTAGACTGTAGACCGAACATGATTGCCACTCAATGCCTCTTTTGCAGACCACAGCACCCAAAAGGAGAGAGAGAACAAAAGGGAATGCCCTGCCACAGAGGTGGGGTGGGCGGGGAGGGGGTGGGAGGGATACTGGGATCAGTAGTGGTGGAGAATGGGCACTTGTGGAGGGATGGGTACTTGATCATTGTATAACTGAGACCCAAGCACAAAAATTTGTAAGTCTACAACTGTACCTCATGGTGTTTCACTAATAAAAATATTTATTTATTTTTATTTTTTTATTTTTCTTTAATTTTTTTACTAATAAAAATTTTTAAAAAATCATATTTTTAAATAAACTTTCACACACACACACACACACACACACACAAAGAACCCAGGTTCAGCCCCTTCTCAAACAGATGCTTCAACGCTAAGGAATATTATTTGAAGATGGCTCTCCATAATCACGACTTAATTACTAAAAGCACTAATTAAAAATGGAACATGCTTTAATTATGCAGGTCTTTTACTTACCTGAAACTCCTTTTAATCGGAAGTACTTTTATGGGTATTAGTTACATCTCCAAATAGATATTTCTGAGTGAGCAGAAAGTGAAAGGAATTGAGAGCCTCAGGCGGTTTTCTGCTCCTCCCCGTGTCCCCACCAATGATTCATCCAAAGGTTTCCAGCAGCCTTTGACAGGCTGAGTTCCATGGAAAGTTACTGTGTGGTGGTGTTATAGGGAAGCTTCGGGGAAGTGTCTGTGCACCAGAGGTTGAAAAAATCAGGATAAAGAGGGTTGAGAAATTGAATTACTCATTTTTGGGTTTTTTTTTCAAGAAACATTAGTAAATGACCCTTTAGTCCCATGATAATATCTAATAGTTAAAAGTACCTTGGTGGGAAGGGGGGGGTTAGGGAGGGGTCTTGAGTCCACACCTGGCGATGCTCAAGGTTTACTGCTAGTTCTGCGCTCAGCAACTACTCCTGGCAGTGCTCCGGGTACCATATGGGATGTCGGAGATTGAACCTGGGTCAGCGTATGTAGGCGCACCCTACACACTGTACTATGTCCCTGTTCCCCTAATATAAATCCTTAAGGCATGCAGTCCTGCCTAACAGAGTTTGAACAGGATGCTAAAAGAGCTTGCTATCCTGGTTCGATGGAATACAAGCTGTCAAGCACACCATAGAAGTGATAAGAGTAATTACCAGGACACATTTCAATATGGTATTTAGAGTCAAAGGAGCTTTACTTTATTTTATTGATTGATTTTGGTTTGGGGGTCACACTCCATGGTAGTCTGGGTCAAAAATAAATAAAAGAAGGTTTAAAAGTTGAGTGTCTCATGGTGATTCAATAAAAATAAATAGATAAGCAAATAAATAGATATAAGTTGATTGTCAGCAATCTATGTGATTAATGAGCTTCACAGAAATTATACTTAGTATCATTTCACCGGAAGTCATGTCAAACCAGCAGCACTGGAGAGCCATTAGATTACTGAACTAAGACACAAAGGTTTATTACACATTTAGTAGAAAATTAGATGGGTTATCTGGGCTGGAGCGATAGCACAGCGGTAGGGCGTTTGCCTTGCACGCAGCCAGCATGGCCAATTCGAGTTCGATTCCTCCGCCCCTCTCGGAGAGCCCAGCAAGCTACCGAGAGTATCTCGCCCGCACGGCAGAGCCTGGCAAGCTCCCTGTGATGTATTCGATATGCCAGACACAGTAACAACAAAGTCTCCAATGGAGACGTTACTGGGCCCGCTCGAGCAAATCGATGATCAACGGGAGGGTCTTTACTTTTACTTTACCTTTATTTCTCCTTACTCTTAAATATTGACTTTGAAGATATCTTTGTCCAGCACACCTTTTAAGCAATGTTTGTT